GAAAAAACAGACAACATTGCTCGGCTCTATAAAATCTGTACGGAAATGAGTGTTTAAAACCAGGACGGCAGACTTGGAATGGCATGGATCACGATTTTGGAAATGAAAAGAATTTTTGGCAAGAAGTTACATTACAACCAGTAGTCGTGGATGTATTAGATGAGAGAATAAGACAAATGGAAGAGCCTATCACTACATACATGAAACAGAAAACAGCTTTACAAAAAGAGTTCTTAGGTTTTCTGGCTTCCCTTCCCCAGTCAAAGACGTTAGTATCAGCTATACCCCTCAAGATGTACTCAGGTTTTTTGTGTGGAATGATAAAAGTGGAAAGACAAAGGTACATCTTAGCAACTGTCCATCTTTAGGATCTGCTCAGGCGTCTGTGTGTGTATTATGTCCATGTAGGCTAGCAACGGGGACAGTTGACACATTAGTCGGGAAGCTTAGAGCGTTTAGAAGAGTGGTAATTATAATATGGGGTTAGGGACGGGAAAACCAGCGGCGCATAAAAGGGTTAAGGAGTATTTGGTTGCGGTTAAAACGGAGCAGGCCAAAGCGTTAGTTGTGACTGAGCAAGCAATCTCAATATCCAAAGATAAAGTGGAAAAACTCTCACGACATATAATGAAGAGGCTCTCAGAGGTAACTATCTCTACGAAGGATATGTGATATACTATATATTAGCAAGGGATAGTGTTTTCTTTAAGTTAGCCATGTTTGCGAGGATAGGTTTCATGACTTAGGGCACACAAAAGTCAACGAAGATGCAGAGGGGTTATCATTCAATCACACTGAGGGAACACAGTTAGGGCAGATAGACCTAATGTGTTTGGGATAAAAAGGCTATGCAATAAGGACATATGCCCGGTATATGGTTTGGAGATGTACTGGAAGGTGTGTGAAAAACTGGGACTGTCAGTAAACACAGGTTATGTGTTCAGAGCAACTTCTAGTAAAGGGAAGAGGTAGAAAACAAGAATATCTAAAAGATTCGAATTAGGAAAGAGAACTAATATATCAGCATTCAAAGATACAGGCATGATAATAAAAAATCGCCACATGACTATGATATAAGGACAGCCAAGCAGAACCATTAAACCACCGTTGCTACAATTGTGGTGGGGTGTTGAAGGACTTGACTGAATCGAGCGAGCCCCAGTCGGCATTTACAAGCAGGCCAAGTTCTCAGGAAAACAACCTTGCATCTCCCCTACACCAGTAGCAGAGCACTGTAACAGCCATAGAGTTTGCGTATCGTCACAGACCTACACAAAGGTAGTTGTAGAAGAGCACTACTTCTATACCAAGAGAAGCGCAGAGTCGGACAACAGCGACACACAGCTTCTCCCAACGACCCTCACAACTGCACTGACGCGAAATGGCTTTCTTCCAAAGAACTCGTAATGTATCCATCCGCAGGATAATTCTACGAGCCTCCAACTGCAGTGAAATTCAAAAAAAGAGCTTGAATACTCTGTGCATAATGCAAGTCGTAAGCAGCTTGACCATAAAAGCCTTGAACTTCATACACTGTCGTAACAATGAGGTGTATCGTTTCTGGCCCTTGGGAGAACTACTTTCTGTCGTCCATGCATACCACAATAGTGATGCTGCAACAGCTGTGATGGGTTCCGGCCTTATCACCTGGTGAACCTATTATTTTTAATCTAATTACCTACCATCACCAATCAGATGCTACGCCGTAAAGCAACTCTTGTTCCACTCGTGCCAATCACCATTAGGGAATGTGCCCAACTAGGACATAGGTATTTTTTTAACAAAAAGTCAACTACGGTGAGTTAATATGCGTGGAACACAACAAAAATATGCACAAAACAGGGATTCAGGCATTACAAAGGTTTGCTACAAAATGAGACCACTATTGTCGTCTATGCCTTGATTTCGTCAATGTAAGTAAATTGATCTGGCCCTTTGCACACGTACTAATGTTGTTGTTTCACTGTCATCGGCGATAAATATCCATGTACGGAGAAAATATAGTTCGCTCTGCAAACAAGCCTGAAGTGTTGTAGAAGGTGACAGAATTGCTCTATTTACTACGTCCTTCTTTAATTTAATGTGTGCGTTCAGTATCTCAATATTAAGACATGATTTGGGTATTTTGTATGATTTGCGTAAAACTATGTTGTTGCGGATGTATATCAAATGAGCGTTTTTGTCATCTCTAGCGCCATCTTAGTCTGGCGTGCCGTAAAGTGAGGTTGAGTGTGTTTGCGTGACCGTGTTGTTATACTGTTTGGTTCACAACCACGAGACTTACGGTGTGATTGAGAGTTAGCGTCGTTACAAGAAGCTGGCAGTATCGGTGGAATGTTTTGCTGTATAGTAATTGCCATGAGGGTCTTATTTTTGCTGGTTATGTTGAATTGAACATTCAGCTTCCATCTCTGCAGTTATGTCTGCTTTGCATACAGAGATTTTCCCATGGCGAAGTCTACCACTAGCAGGTCTGAGTTTGTAACCGGTGGTTCTTAAGCTCCATGCTGCCATTTGTTTGCATTTAGAAGCCACTAAAATTTTTATTCTTTACTTTAAAACACAAATTCATGTTCATGAATATTCTGATTTTGTGAGAGAGCTGCATACCGTGCATAATTCTGTGTTCTAGTGATGGTGTAAGGGCCCTGACACACAGTGTTTCGGGATTGGGTTGTTTACGGAACGATATCAGACGTGTCGCATTTTACTACCGTTTATTATTATAAGGCAGAACAGCAAGAGCCCTAAGCAGCTACCCTAGGGAACTCCACGTGTGTTTGTTCTTGATGTCGAGAAGTTCCCATGAATCCAAACAGCTTGTTCCCTACCCCTAAAGTAACAACCTGTCCAACTTACAGCAAGATTGTTGAATGCTAATAAGATATCGTGATTGACTACGTCGACTGCTGCTACTATGTCTCCTTCAGCCAGCCAGTCAGTCAGTCATCTAAATCAAAGCACTTAATGTGGAGTGATGTTTCTTGTACGCACGTTGCAACCTTAGATGATGCCATTGAGAAGGTAGCTTTGGATTTGTTTCTGAGCTATTTTCTTGACTACGTACTTTGCCTATGGCTGGGGGTAGGCTGATGGGTCGACCGCTGGGTCAGTTTAGTGGTACCAGTTTTTTGTCGATGACCTTGGAATTTTTCTATTACGAAGGGATCAGTTCTTGTCTTAAGGAGCAGTTTGTATCATGTATTTTCACCCTGGTTAGGGGTCATAGCGGGTAACCTATGGCCATTTTTTCTTCAAAATTTAAGGATGCCAATACATTTTTTTTCGAACATGAAGAGGATATTATAGAAATAAGTACTTATCTGCCCATGACATCTGTTGGTGAGAACTCCCTGCTCTTTTATCCTTTTATAACAAGACGTACAAGATTTTATTTTATTTAATATTTTACATGATTTTAGATCATGCTATTTTTTATTTATTTAAACTTTATTTCAGGCCAAACAGGAATATAAAATACAGAAAAAGGACTAAGTAGATAAAATACTACTATCTAAATAACTAACTTAAAAAGACAAGATTGACATAATGCCTCCAAAATGGGCTAAGATAAAAACAGTCGGAGTGGGCAAGAGTATGTATAATGGAGTTCTCAGAAGAAAGCAACCGGGAAACGACCGAATGGGATAGTTTACGACGCTTAGTGTCAAATGTGTCAAGCCTGTTGTTTGCGAAAAGTAAACTAGTACTGGACTGTCTGCTCACACCACGCAGCAGCTTAAGGGCTCCATTATAAGCCACTCGTAACTTAGATATAACGCCCACACTATAATCAGACCAGCGTTGAGCACAATACAGACTGGCACAATAGCTACCGAACAATATGCGCTTTACCTCAGTCAACAGAGCAGTAACGGAATCCACGTATAAGCGAATTCGCTCTAGCATATAAGCTTCTATTCTGACTCTGCATCGCTTGGTCATCAGAAAGATTTGGAGTAATATGATAATCAAGGTAGTTGGCAGACCTAAGATACTCTCATAAAATGGATCCGTACATCATCAGTTGTGGTGGTACGTCGTGCAAGCGGAAGCGGTGGTACGCAAAATACATACACATAGTTTTATTTACGTTGAACAGCATATCAATGTCCGCTCCCACGTGCTCACAAATGTAAATTAGCTTCTGAAGCCCTTTGACGGAGGGACAGATGAGGCAAATGTCATCCGCATACATAAGATGATTAATCACAGTAGTTCCCACACAGCAACCCAGTCCTGTCCTTCTCAGCTCTGCGCTTAAGTCGGAAACATATACATTAAACAAAATTGGTGACAGAAGGCTGCCCTGGTGCAGTCCGTTACACGCAATTAAAGTATCTGATAGGGTTTGGGCCCAACGTACAGAAAACACAAGGTATTATACCAAACAACAAGGAATCTCACTAGGTATATGCGAGTACCTCGATCTATAAGTTTCTTAAACAGCGTCCAGTGGTTAACTCTATCGAATGCCTTTGAGGCATGTAAAAAAACACACAAGGACCAAAAAGACCCTCTGACGGTAGTAGTGGATGATCTCCTTTAAGGCAAATACACAAAGGTCAGTGTTATGTCGTTTTTTTGAAACCAAACTGGTTGCTGGGAGAAAGTAGATATTCTTGGAGTCTCTCTCTCTCTCTCTTTCTCTCTCTCTCTCTCTCTCTCTCTCTCTCTTCTTCTTCTTCTTCTTCTATCCCATCTCATATCCACATTTTCCTGTCATCTCCAAAAACCCCACATTATCCCCACACAAAACACAAAAATCTCCCCTTTGTAAAATAGGCGTACTTTTCATTTCCTCTAACCGTCTCAAATAAAACCAAGACCCTTTCTTAATAAAATAATTTCCTTTTTTTCTTCGAACACGTACCACGACAGAGGTAAAAACTCACAACAGATATATTCATCTCTTTCTTACATTATTGCAAGCTATGGGACTACTCTGCAAGAGAAGATATTTCCGCTTTCTCAAACTTGAGAGAAATCAAAGGCGTGTTTCAGCCCTCGTACATTTGTAACTCGTTGTTCTCTTCATGTGTCTTCCCCGCCTGCCTGACTTCCTGTGAAGCTATACGCGCTGCGGGGCCTCCTGGTTCCATAACCTGTGTGATTTTCATGTAATGGGATGCCGTCCTTCCCGTGAACCATCCGACGTGGTCCATCAACTCTCTGTCCGATGCTCCGGCCATGTGAAGGGAGATCGCACATCCTGACCTGCACCCATGCAGTGTCTCTCCCTCGTCGATCCCTAACTTTTGTAGATATCGCCGGAACGTGTTGCCTATTGTTGAGGATGACGGTTGCTCAGCTGCACCTTCCCTTTTTCGAAGTGGACCTAAACAGAGATCCTTCCGGCTGATAGATAACTGCTTAGCGATAGATACATTGTCTACAAAATGAACGTATTGGTTCTCACATCTCTCAATGTTTTCCCAAACACGTGATTCATGATTAAGGATCCTGACTGCATCTTGAATACTTCTGTTGTTCTCGTCCTCATTAAATCCGCTATCCTATCCCCTGAGAAGAAAGCTGCCTTAAAAAAAGCTTGATCTCTCGCTAACGTATAACACTTCTCTTGCGGGATTCTATCAAAGATATGTTTACATACCTTTATATTTTTGTCCAGAAAGACCGGTTTAGCCTGTCTGGGTGTCATACCCTGGCTCAGCTGCTCTGCAGTTATCGACGAGAGATAGGACTTTAACAACTTACCTGCGGCCGGGTTTCCTATGCCTTACCTCTCGTCCCACTCTCCCCTTCCCCTGTCGATGAAAATCTCCCTGAGTTTTCCAACATATGAATGCACCGTTATAAACGCCAACCTGCTCGGACATCCACAATTCCTCTCAGCTCTATTACAACTTCCAACATGCACTTTAGTCTTCCCTTGTCCGTCTTTCCAAATGAGAACCCTCACTATCTACCGGAGCTGCAGTGTCCAGCGTTTTCGGTGGGGAGAGAGTTTTCAGAAAATCGGTCAATAAATCTACAATGGCTCTGTTTTGCTTGCAAAATGCTGTATCCTCCTGCGTCATCAAAATCTCTTCTAACCTCTTTTCTATCTTTGAATGGTCAACTGACCTGACTTCCACCCTTTTAGGATTACCACACTTTTGGCAAAAATTGAAGTCAAAGTCGTTAGGGTAACCGCAATGTGTACATCTACTAGCTGGCACCCACAATCCGACGGTACGTGATTCAGACATAAATCAATGTTAAGCTGTACTACTGTCTCCCACAAGGCTACTATTGCCCTTGGTAACCTAATACTTTTCCCTCCCTGATTCTCCCATGCATGCTTTATATTAGTATTATCTACGAAAGCATTCACTCTTTTATTACGCACTCTCTCCTCTGCCGATACTAAAACCCTTCTTAAGGCTTCTGTCTCCTTCACTGCTATGATCTCCTCTTGCTCTTGTCCCTGCCAGGAATCAGCAAATTGCACTAACCCTTCTTCTGTTGTCCACGATCCTGCCCATTTAAATCCAGAGGCGTCGGAGGATAATGTCACTACCTCGTGATTCTCCTTCCTCCAAGGAACGTGCCCTTCCCACTGATCTAGAAATCTCCAGAATTCGATCTGGCTCCTAACCGGGCCGCGGATTGAGATCCACGCATTTCCGCCTACCTGTGCCTGTCTTATCGCTTCTAACATTTCCCTACAATAGAGACGTACAGCTGGGACCGCCAAACCAAAGGAGACAATCTTTCCCGCCAATTTCTGTAACACCTCGACGGTCACCTGTTCTCGCCTTAAAATGTCCTCTCGCAACTCCACGAAAGAGACCTTCTTCCTATTAAACTGGAAGTCTAAATGCCATAAGAATCGAGTCAGCCCCCAGACCCAAAAATTCCAGATACTGCTCTGGGTCTAGCTGTGACTTATCTATACCTATGAAAATCCCCACACTTACCAAAACACTACACATAATGAATACCGCTGCTTCCGCGGCCTCTCGATAGGGCTTTGTCATTCCCTTCTCTCTTTCCATATTCCCTTCATGCCCTCTATCCTGCACCAACAACTGCCCCGCGTCCCTATCATCTATATATAAGGATGAAGGTACTCTCGATGCTCTGATTCGGTGCATCACCACATTCCCTATGGTTTGATAGAAAAAAGCACTCCCCTTCCAGCCAAATGTAATCGTCGAGAATGTGTACCAGACTCCCCCCTCATTGGAAACCCACCAATGGTTTGCTCCCCTCTGTGATGAAAACATGGTCATATCCACTCTTATCATCACACTTTGTTTGATAGTGCCCCCTACCGACATATCTTATTCACTCCACAACTGAGTTCTAGCTCGAATGGAGTCTGCCACAAATTCTGCGAATGGTTCTCAACTGGCAAGGTTTGGTAAGTACAGGGGGGTGGGGTGGTACCTTTGTGTACGACTTTCCTTTAAATTTTCCCGAAAAAGGCCGAATAAAGTCGTACATAGACACGCCAAGCCTTATCCAGTTTCTTACCATCTGGGAAGAACTATCTTCTCCCAAGTATTGCATCCCATTCTCTGACATGACTATGGATTTCCCCTGCTCGGAACGTGTCAGCATCTCTAAACAGTAAGGACTACGCCAATTCTTTCAACTTTCCTGCCGCGACGTACAAGATACATGGGAAGACTAAAGCTTTCTTAGTTTTATCCTTAGTACGAGTATTTACGATACTCGATAGGCTTCAAACAGGTCAAATGGATGACGTAGCTCGAATTCTTTGATGAGTTGTGTAGTCCCAGAACCCATCTGCAATAAATAAAGCTATAGTCACCAGTTGCACCATACTTCCTGACCATCCTGTTAAATTCCTGACAATCCTGTTAAATTGACTTCTACCAGCCCACAAAAGCCCCATCTAGAGCTGTTCCTAGGTTGGCCATTGCAAACTGATACGAATATCTATCCACACCCGTAAACCTTTATAATAATAATAATATACTTTCCATAGCTAGGCGCTTCCCACATCTACGGTAGTCAGCGGTGTGCGATTAAAAGAATCCGTAAAGACAAAAGGTACTGCATACTGTTTATTCACTCTGTCCATTCCGTTCCGTAGTCAAATATCATTTTCAAAGGATCCATTTATGTTGTCAGACGTTCTATAGTCAGAAACCTACTCCAGAAAACGTAGGGTGAACAGTTGTGTACATATTAACCTTCACCATCACATGCATATTCTTACCACAGGATCCATTAATGTTTTAAAAATACTCCAAAATACTACTGAATGCGTAAGTGAACAATTGTGTACATATTCACTTTCACCATCACATATTCTTACCATAGGATCCATTTACGTTCTCAAAAATTCTACAGTCAGAAACATACTCCTGAATGCGTAAGGTGAACAGTTGTATACATATTCACTTTCACCATCACATATTCTTACCATAGGATCCATTTACGTTCTCAAAAATTCTACAGTCAGAAACATACTCCTGAATGCGTAAGGTGAACAGTTGTATACAAATTCACTTTCACCATCACATATCCTTTACATAGGATCCAATCAAGGTTTTAGAGGTTTTACAGTCAGAAACCTACCCCACTGGGCGTTGTATACATCATTACTTTTACCTTGTCAAAGCAAAAAAACTTACTCTTTTTTACTGGCTTTAGGGTAATCCCTGGCCCAATGGCCTTTACTGTCACAGTTATGGCATTTATCGTTCAGCTGAGGCTGTCTTCTCGGCATGAACGCCTTAGATTGCTGCGTTTTAGGTTTTTTCTTTGGTGGCTCACTTGGATCCGCGATATCCGTTAATGCCTTATAACTTTTAATAAAGCCATGAACTGACTTATTTAATTTGCTTTACCGTTGGGTACCCTAAGATGACCAATTTTGGTCCAGATTTTATCCATTGGATTACAGTATATACCAGAAAAGCACAAAACTGTATTAATCATTGCGGGCACTTGTCGAAATGGATTGAGTTGGAGAGAGGGGTGCGACAAGGCTGCCCCTTATCGTCTCTTCTTTTAATTTTGGCCACAGAGATCTTTGCGATGAAAATTAGACAATCCAACAAGATCAAGGGTATTTGTTTCCCCGCTGTTGATAGCTGTTATGTAGAGTCTCGTATTTTCCAATATGCGGACGACACCGAATTGACATTAGCAGACAAAGCCTCTATTATTACTAGTCTTGGTATTATAAAGAATTTCTCAAAATTTTCAGGTCTGGTGTTAAATACTAGCAAAACTGAGGCCATGTGGTTGGGCCCTTGGGTGCATAGTACAGTACAGATTGGTGGTTTGAAGTGGTCTACATCAGTAAAATGTCTTGGTGTAATTTTCTCATGTTCAAACGAAGAAAACCCTATCTGCTTGGACAAGACGTCCCCTGAGTATTCTAGGAAAAATATTAGTACTTAAGAGTTTGATTGCGTCTCAGTTATCTTATAGAAGAAGAAGAACTTTATTGCGCAACAGATGTAGCAGGTACAACGTATGGCAAAATGATATATACATAGTTTGTGGTGTTAACATACACATATGGTGGTGTTGAGAATATCTAACAGTTCTGCTAACTATAATAGGAATCTGGTCTGTTTCATAAACAATGTATAACAAAAGAGAGACACTAATTATACTAATCTAAGTCTATTAATACAATGTAGTAATAAATTGTGTCAGGAATTAATTACGTTTTGTCGTTTTGTCATGGAATTGTGTACAAATTGGCCTACATAAGTGGAAATGTTGACAGGGCATGATAGTAACATATAGAATATCTCTGTCTTTGTATGGGGTAGTGTTACATTGGTCTTACTTGTAATATGATGTAACAATTTCCGTCGGTTTTCATCATAGGTTGGGCAATCTATTATAAAATGTAATTCGTTTTCGACGCCTTTATGACACGTGGGACACAGTCTCTCTTTGGCTGGAGTGTCACAGTGGCGACCCTTTTCAATTTGCAAAGAGTGGGCACTAATCCTAAGTTTTGTAATGCTGTTTCTAAATGATTTGTTTTGAATTGATAAAAGATAGTTTTCCAAACAGAATTGGGTTTTAATTTTGCAGTAGGTATTGAGTTTGGTAAGACTTTTGATTTCTTGTCTCCAGCCAGAGAGAAACGTGTTTTGTAGACGATCTTTAAAGATATGTCCAAACCGATTGGTATTAACGGAGGGATTTATCCATATATTTTGAAATCCGTGCGTACAAAGCATGTCCTGAACATGGACAGCCCAGTCTTGTTGTAGTTCAACGGAAGTTATATAAGCTTTCTTAACGATCCTGTCGTTCGGCAGACTATGTAGGCGAAGCCAATATTTTATCAATTGTGTTTGTGAATCGAGGTACAGTGGGAATACCCCGAGTTCACCCCTGACGGCGGCGTTAACGGAGCTTCTGGGTACGCCAAGTGCTATTTTG